AGGCGTCGGTGTATACATCACGCACCAGGGAATCCAGGCCCTCCGGGGCACCGATGGAGGTTAACACGGTGAATATCGCGTCGTGGGGGATGCTGCCGAATGCATTTCGTAAATCCAGCCAGGCGGCGTACATGTTTTTCTGGTTACGCCGGGCATCCTTCACGATGGTGGAGAGAAGAAATGTGTGTTCGTAGCAACCTTCACCGGGGCGGGCGCTCTTCTGCGAGCTGCTGATGAGATCATTGTCCAGGGCCCATGACAAGATCGCCATCAACAGCTTGTAGAGGCATCCCGCTTCTTATGGATCAGCACGGTGGTCGCTGTCTTCCAGGAGGATGGGACCCGGCTTTCACGCAGGTACCGGTTGAAGATTTCCAGGGTGACGCGGAATGCGCAATCAACCTCGCGGATGTGACGGTACTCCAACCGGTCCTTCCCTGGTACGGAGTTGGACATCCGGCCAAGACAGAGGGAGATTCACGCTGGGTGACTGGGCGGACTCACGGGCTTGGGCAGAGTCCGGAAACAGGAGGCTGGTATCCGTGGCAATGGTGTCGGTGTGGACCTCACGAGCGGAAAATACTTCAGTGAAGAAATCCACCAGTGAGGCCTCGGTGCCGCTGTATAGGACATCAGAGCCAGTCAAGATAGTCCTGATGGCGCGCTTGTTGCTGGTCCGATACAGCTTTTGCAGACGACTGGCCTCCTGTGCATCAAACTCCGGGCCAAGCCCGGGGCGGTGGGGACGAGGGGGACGTTTGGGGCGAGGTTCCTAGTTCCTGCAGTCACGGGGCGGTTGGTGCGCTGGGCGGGCTGGGCGTCCGTTGTTTCGACCCTCATCGGCGGCAAACTCCACAAACAGATCACACACATCCTCAAAAGACTCGAAGTCAGCCGAGCGTGACAGTTCGGCCAGCCACACGTCAATTGCAGACTTCTGCGATGGTGGAACTGCATTGTCTACGCCTGGGTTAGCAGGCGTAGACGGACGGAGATGTCGGGGCTGCACAGGAATAGGGGGCGTGAAGGAAATCGAGCATGAGGCGCGAGTGACCAGTGAGTGGAGTCTGGTGACCGGAGGTGGCAGGATCGGTGGCCGGGGTAGCGGGCTCGGTGACCGGGGCGGTGGTGAGGGCGACCGTGGCTGTGGTGTGGGCGACCGGGGCGGCGGGCTCGGTGATCGTGGCGGTGGAGTGAGTGGCCGTGGCAATGGTGTGGGCGCCCGGGGCGGTGGGGAGGGATTCCGGGATGTTTCGGGCAAGTGGTGGCGGTGAACTGGCAGGGCTAGGAGGCAGGGGTTCACCGACAAGGCCTCGGATCAGATCCATCGGTGAAGAGGTCATGGCAGACGGAGTAGGGATGGCGCTGGCTGACATCTGCCGATGAACTTGGAAATGGTTGGATACTTTCCTGCCGGTGACAAACTCCTTCCCGCACACTGAGCACTGGTAGACGGTGGTGAGGTCAACATTGGGGTGAAACTTCTTCTGGTGACGCTTCAGGGTTTGATTGTGAAAGAAGTTCTCGCGGCACACCACGCACGGCCACTCCTTCGGAAGAGGCTACGGGAACACTTCCGTCATAGTCGAGGGCGTGGAGACGTCGGGAGAAGGCTGCCGGTGCAGCCGGGCCATGTGCCTCCGCAAGCCCGAAGTCGAGGAGAACGACTTCAAGCACATGGCACAGACCGGCTGTCCGGCATGGAGGGCGCCCTCACGCTTGTAACGTCGCTCCAGCGACAAGCATGGTATCCATGAGGTGTTGGGCGCAAAAGACAAAAGACTCCGACACGGTTGAGTAATTCCAAGGTATCCACATCAGATTAAGCTGGAAAGAACAGATACTGTTTTTTTTTATTTGGGACAAAGAAGGTCCCGGGCAGGTCGACTTACCAATGCGCCGAAATACAGTGTTCTGGGGTCTCGAGCCCCCCTGCCCTAAACCAGAATAAACACTAACACCAAAAAGGACAAACACCTGAGAACAGAAAAGTCACCGAATGACGAAAATGTCACAAACGACGAAAAATGTCCCAATCTGATTTCAAGAATCTCTAGAAAAGGATACACAGATAACAGTGATAAAAAGACTAGCGGTTAAAAAGCTAAAAATACATTACAAACAGGTATTTAAAAACTTTAAAAACACGAAGAAAACATTAAATCGATAATGTTTATCGAAGAAAAAAATCACCGCTAAAATACCTCATTATGCAAGAAGAAATACCAGTTCCAAGAAACATCCCCCCCCCCCACATCCGAGAAAAGTTTCCCGGGAGCGGGAAAAGAAGATTCTTCCCGAAAAAAACACCAATTCCCTACACTGAGAAAACAAGAAAAATGCCTCAGCAGCGAGTTAACTGAAGACAAGGATGTCAATAGCAAACAAAAGAGGCAGATAAAAAAAACTGAACAACGGCAATAAACAATAAAGGATACTAAGTCCGTCTCCCAAACCTCGGTATGGGGATACGCCTGTCCCGCTGCAGGAGACCCGCAGCATCGGTGATGTCTCGATCTTTCCAGGGGACAGGCGCCTCTATACTCCTTAACCTGAAAAAAAGGGGGAAAAAAACTAAAATTTACCCTGACAGACTTAACATCAAACTGCACTAACTTACTTAAATATCTGGGGGGGGGGGGGGGGGTAAAGCCGTTGTGGGCAAGACTAGCAATTGATGAGAACGCGGTCGTCTCTGATAGAAACAACAGAGCCGCCGACGTTCCACAAATGAAAAAACTTGTTTCGGTCTAAACGTAAGAAATCTGCCTCTATGCGCTTATGAAGAAAAGACTAAGTAGAACGGAGGACGGTCAACGTAGTTGCCGTCGAACAAGGCTTGGCAGCGGGACTTCCAAATCTGCCACTTCAAAGCAGAACTCAAAAACCAGACGAAGCGGTGGTTCATATTTGTGGGGTTAAAACCCTCTGCGAAAAATACCACTGCTGGGGAGATGGAAAAATGGGCCCGCAAACATGTATACCCATGTACTGTACGTGGCCCAATCCCACAGCAAGGTAACAAAGGAACAGTCCCAAAGCACATGCAGAAGCGACTCATTATTGTTACAATTAGGCCGAGGGCACTTACTGCGGCCAATACCCCACAATAAAATGTGCTGGGCCGTCTTCACGGCGCTCCAAACAATGCGCCAGTTTAATTTCCGCAGGAAGTGATCTAAAGAGTTATTTACAATGAATGAACAATGCAGGACGGCATAATTGATATCTGTGGGAGGGAGCGCCACAGCCACTTGATTTAAAAACACATCGTAAAGGTTATTTACAGTGACGGTGTTCCAGTTGATAGACAGTACATTAGGGAGAGAAAGGATGAGATTACAGAACGTGACATAAATGCGAGGGACCGTCGAGGAATGAGGACGGCTATTAGAGAAGAGACCAGTCGGAAGAAAGTTACGAAGGGAAATGGAACACCAGAAAAGAGCTAAAAAAACTCCAAGGCGGAGCTACAGGACTACAAAGCGAGCTGAAACCCTTAATGAAAAGAGCATCAGCTTTAAATCTTATGTTTGAAACACCGAGGCCACCGCTGTCAAGAGACTGACAAACAGTGGAACGGCGTACCAGTTCCGTCTTACCGGACCATAAAAAAGAAAAGATGATCTTGTTGATATTCTTCTCCACGGTGACCGGCAGCGGGTAGACAGGGGCTACATACACGAGGGTAAGAGAAAAGGACTGTGTTAATTACAGTCACTTTGCCAATTAATGACAAATGGCGTTTATTCCAGTTTTCTACTGAAGACTGAAGTTTTACCAGGCGGTCTTCCCAAATCCTGGCGGCCATGTCTCCTTTGCCGACCCAGAAGCCATTAATTTTAATAGGATCTGTTGTCCAAGAAATGGGGTAAATATCCCCAAGTTGCTCTCACCAATCACCTAAAACAAAACCTTGAGATTTGGTGACGTTAAGTCAAGAGCCGCTTGCACCTTAAAACAAGCCTATAATGTTAAAAAGTCTATGAAGCGAGGAAATATTGCGAACAATACAAGTTGTATCATCCGCATATTGTAAAATTTTACACTGCAAGTTGTTACTTCCAGGGATAAAAATACCTTGGATGCCCCTATCGTTACGGACAGCCGCAGCGAAGGGTTCGATGAAAATGACATAAAGAAAAGGAGACAGGGGACAGCCCTGTCTAACACCTTTCTGTAAAGAAAAAGACTCAGAAAGAAAACCGTTAGCAAGAACTTGGCTGAAAATGTCAGTGTATAGTATTTTGAGCCATCTGATGAAATTAGGCCCAAAACCAAACTTGTGAAGAACTTGGTGAAGAAAAGACCAGTTTACACGGTCGAAAGCTTTTTGCTGGTCAAGAGAAATAAAAAGTGAATTTAATTTCCTCTCGTCTGCATAAAAACAAGGTCCCGTAAAAGCCGGGCATTATCGTGAATGGAGCGCCCTTTGACCCCGCAGGTCTGAAAAGGGCTAATGATAGAAGATAGAACTGAAGAAAGACGGTTACAAAGAGATTTAGCTAGAATTTTATAATCCACATTGAGCAAAGAAATAGGCCTTTTGTTTTGAGGCAAGGCAGGATCACCTGACTTGTCCAGGAGGGTGATAATGCCGGTTCTCTGTGAATTAGCCAAAATCTGTAAATCAAAAGAAGTGTTAAAAACACTCAGCAAATCTGGACCAATGAGGTCCCAAAAAGTGGAATAAAATTCTTTAGGCAAACCGTCGCTGCCGGGGGATTTGCCGTTCTGCATACCCCGCACAGCAGCGTCGAGTTCACTAGACAAAAGAGGAACTTCAAGATATTAAGATTCTCTTCGGAAAGAGTATCAGAGATCTGATCTGAAAAGAAGGATTGGAAACTGTCAACAGTTTCATCCCTCGAGAACAAAGAAGCATAAAAGTCTTTATAAATGTAGCGGTACGCCAGTGAGGAGGTCCGCTCAAATGATGAGATTTAAGGACGCCAAGGACAAATCAAGACAAACAGAAACAAATCAAAGCAAGAGTCAAATTATGCTTGGTCTCATGAACTTGTTCACAAAAATCGATTACAATAGTTTAAATTAACACATGATCTCAATTTTAACCTACAAAAACTGTTACAAAAAGTATCGATAAGATAATAGATCAGTTTCTAGCTCTATAAATTCTGACACAGTTGCCAATGATAAACATATTAAATCACAAAGTTTGTATTTCTAAAGTTCCCAGATTCAAAGTGAGGTTCCTAAGATTCACCGGTTCTAATATTTTAATCAGGTTCCCCGAAGTTCCCCGAACGCCTGGCGAGTGTACGGCTGTGTTGTGAACTAGGCCTCCATATTGCACCTGACATGAAACAGTCGTATTGCTATAAATCAACATGTGACACACGGTGATTAAAACTTTGAGATTGTGAAGACTAATTCACCTCCAAATCACTCCTTTTGTCAACATGAAATAAACTAAAACCTAGCCCAGCGGTAGCAGAGAACTTGCATTATGACATTAGAATGTGAAGATAATACAAATTTTGCTCATTTAAGACTAAAATGTAGGTTTTCAAGCACAAGTTTTGTACACGATACTCACTCTTTGGTGTGCAGGCAGAAAAGGGCTGATATTCACGGCACTGAGTGCGCGTTTGTATACATTTTTCTGGGCTGTGTGCCAATTGTACGGTGACTCGTAAAAGACGTCTCACTACATGTTCCCTACTTTAAAACCATGCGCCCTCGAATGGTTTATTTATGAACTAATAGGGCGACCGACGCACAATTATGTCAATTCTATAGCAAACATGTAGAATCAACACAGCTAGTATCACGATCCCTTGAACATTATTTACGGCTTGATTCGGCCAAGTATGCACAAAATGGCAATGTCAAGGGTTTACATTACAGCCAGTGAAATTTACATACATATCGCATACTGATAACAAACAAAACTTGTTTTGGTCCAATTTAGATGGACAACTGAACAATGTCACATAAGGCATAAATCTCAAATGAGAGCTCACAATTATACACAAGCCTCAAATATAAAATGGGCTACAGAGTATAAGCACCCAAGTGGCTTCACCTGGAACATCCCCCTGATGGCCAAATACAGGTACTGCATCAACATTCTAGGTAATTAAGACCCCTTTTACAAGTTATCCAATTATTTGTTGCCTATAAACACATTTGTTGATAAATCCAAACTACCTTACAGTCTCAAGTATTGGACAAACCCTGTCCCCATAACTTAGAACAATCGCTGTAATTCACATGTCACAACAAACATAAAATCCAGCGTTGTCAAACTTTGTACACATTACACACATAGTGCTAGTGATGCATGAACTGAGAAAGCAGGCAAAATATTATGTTCAATACATGCGAACACCAGTAGTCTGTCACTGACTGCAAATGACATTCCGGTCACATTTTTTTGTGAATACAATCAAGATAGTTTCCAATCGGACAAAACCTCGGTCTCTGAATAAAATTATTGTACATTGTACATGAATGTCTAGATCATGCATGTACACACACCCTTATCAGTGGAGTGAACCAGATAAACTTTCAATGACCTACTTCCTTAGGAAACTTAATACACAGTATCACAAATGTAACAACTTGCACAATACCCAAACACTTTCCAAAAATAGAACACTCAGCATACACAGCTGTCAGAGTGTAAACAAATGGCAAGTGGATATATATTTTTCAAATATTGGACCAAAACCTGGATCCTACTTAAATAATAACTTTCTTGTCATCGGGCATTTATGGTCAAGTTTTACACTCATACAGAAAATATGAAAAAGTATCTGGATTAGATAAAAATCCATAATATATTTCAAACATGCATAATACTCCAACTTTGGGAATCAAAACACCACAAATATAAGAGCATCTCGAGGTGGCGAACCATGACCGTCTACACTAATGTGAAGCGGTACCCTCAAGCATAATTAACTCATTCTAATACAATTGTGCTGAAACACATGGTTCAAATGGAACACTTCAGTGCAGTAAATTTCAAACTGCTTATCTGTTATGTCATTGGACACAATTTAAGTAATGGCATTTGGCCAGAGACCCACATGTTTCCTTTTCATCATGTGGCGTTTTGCCCGTCTCTGATCTGGCAACACTGTTGGCCATATCTCAAATGCACAAAGATGAAATGTAAGGGGTGCCCAGTGGTTCCCTACTTTTTCTCCTGCCTTGGCGTTTGGCACTTGCAGTTATGGGTGACATTCCAAAACAAAATTGAGCCTTTTCTCAAAAGGAGGCAGTAAAACGTGATGAAGAATAACCAGGAGATACAACACACTCCTGCGGCTTGCAACTTAATATCGACTTATTTTCCAAGTCATCACAAACGGGTTCAAATCAGTGTTGTAGGTCTCGAGACCGGTCTCGGTCTCGAGACCGGTCTCGAGACCATTTTTTGCTGGTCTCAGTCTCAGTCTCGGAAGCTGTGGTCTCGGTCTTGGTCTCGATATTTTGGCTTGTCTCAGGTCGAGACCGGCAATATGTAGCTTTTACAGCTCGATCGATTACTTGTGTTCACTTCGTTCAGTACCGTTGATATTTAAAACATTTGCTAGCCCGTAGATCAAGCTTATTATATATCGTGGTCGGTTTGGACTCGACTGCATGTTGGAAAGTCCCAAAAGTACGTGTAAAGCTGCAGCAGTACCAGTCACTGAACGATTTGGAACAAGTTCGGCATTTATCTGTTTGTGTCGGGCACATAAAGCAAAGTATAAACTTGTAACAATTTATGCAATAAGGGCCTGCCATTTTCGGGGATTGTGTAGTTTAGCCCACCCCTGTGGGCGTAATCACTTGCATTTTGTATTCTGATAATAAATGAGATGCTTCAAGTTAGTTATATTTTCGACCCCACACAATGTTCTCTTTAATTTGGGACAGTATTTTGAAGAAAAAGTAAATTTTCCTACCTGATTTTCCAGCATTGAACTCACACACTCTTACCAGTTACCACTCACTGTTGCCATGAAAATGTATGATGAGACCCCATTTTCTGGCTGCTCATTTTGAAGTACCCCATTATTCCTCAGAAATTAAAATCCCGTTCAGAAAAAAATTAAAAATCCATATCTGGCACATTCTGGCTACCACCTCGCAACTTGTGGGTCTACATGTACAAGTCCACATTCTATGACAGAAATTTTAAAATTAATTCAACATTTTCTAGCTCCCACTTTTTAAAATCACGTACACAAGTCTTGTTAGAAGTTAAGTCCTATATTTATTTTAGGAACAAAAAGGCATAATGTAAAATTAAAATTGCATCTTTAAATATCCGTTAGAAGTCATAGCTGAAACCAAGGGGTGACTGTGGAGTTTAGGATTCGAGATCCTATAACAGATGAAACATCTGCCTTTAACTGTTTTTACTTTTGTCACGATTGGGTGCAGACAACATGTCAAAGCCCATATTTCTTAAGTGTAACTACTTTTTGCTCAAGTAAGGTGTCATGTATCAATTTGTCAACACTGCCACCGGTCAAAATTTTGGTCTGTAATCTTTGTGAATAGAAAGGTTACAACTTTCCACTATAATAACGTGTCTTGTTTTTTTTTATTTCGACTATTGTTATTTATTATCAGCGGTCTCGGTCTCGGACCATATTGGTCTCGGTCTCGGTCTGCCTTGAAGGGGCTGGTCTCGGTCTCGGTCTCAAATCTTCAGGTCTCGGTCTTGGTCTCAGACTATCCGGTCTCGACTACAACACTGGTGCAAACTCAATACTGGGCTCTAAAACAGGCCTTTCATCAACAACCTCATGGGGATCAGAAACTTCCACAATACTATCAACAGGTTTTATCAAAATCTGTTCTGACACCTCTACCTCTAGAACATCTGCTACATCAGTACATGCAGGTACAATAACTACTGGCTCAGAATCAACATTTGTCACATTAATTTCACTGGGAATATCACCAACTGGGACACCATTATCAGAAGACAAACTTTCCAGGTTTTTGACCTGTTGGTCTTCAACAAACTTGAGTAAAATAGCAGCATGCTCATTGAGTGTTGTCTCTATTGACTTAGATACACTTAGCTTAGAAATGGAATCAACAGATTCACGAGGCTGTTCATTAAGTGAGTGGACCTCATCATGAACCTCCAATAAATTTGAAAACACATTGACAATAGTTCGTGCTAAAAACTGATGTGACTTGACAATACTGTCTGGCAAAACCATGGTTGTGATATAAATGACCACCTACGGCCTACAGTGTACATGAAAATATAAGGCTTCACAAATTTGACCAAAAATCTGTACCTACACAGATATAACAGGGTCACGATACAGCCTACTGTCAATCCTACAAGGGATACAATGACATAACTTGTACACACAAAATCCCACCAAAAATTACAGCCTAAATACAGACTGAATCATGTCAAAAATAGACAAAATGCAGACAAAATATGAAATGCACATCATCAAATGCACGTCAATATGTCAAAATATACTAGGGTCTGCAAATTAAGTCAGCAAAAATACAATCAGGCCATACTCTACATACAAACCAACTGTGCACACAAATTTGACTTCAATAAAATGTATCCCAGCTACACGTAGGCCAAATGGCTTAATCTGTACAAATGCAGATCTACAAAAGAATGGATACCAAAGTCAAAATACACTTCACATGGAAGATAAAATTGCACAAAAGTATGTAGGTTAAAACTACAAGTGACCAATACTAAACCTGCTGACAATAATACAAAAAATGCATTACAGTCAATAATACAAAATGGAAGAGATGATCATGTCTCTCAACAAGTGAAACAGCGCATCACAGCCTGGTGAATGTGGAGAAACAGCAAATCCCATCTCGTACGACGCTCCATGATAAAAAGTCAGCCACAGCGAGGAACAGGCGTTCGGGGAACTTAATAATTTACAATTAAGGAAACTTTTTATCCTACATTGTCCACGGCATCCTGTCTACGACGCCACTTTGGTAGCGGTACGCCAGTAAGGAGGTCCGCTCAAATGATTAGATTTAAGGACGCTAAGGACAAATCAAGGCAAACAGAAACAAATCAAAGCAGGAGTCAAATTATGCTTGGTCTCACGAACTTGTTCACAAAAATCGATTACAATAGCTTAAATTAACACATGATCTCAATTTTAACCTACAAAAACTGTTACAAAAAGTATTGATAAGATAATAGATAAGTTTCTAGCTCTATAAATTGTGACACAGCTGGCAATGATAAACATATTAAATCACAAAGTTTGTATTTCTAAAGTTCCCAGATTCAAAATGAGGTTCCTAAGACTCACCGGTTCTAATATTTTAATCGAATTCCCCGAAAGCCTGGCAAGTGTACGGCTGTGTTGTGAACTAGGCATCCATATTGCACCTGACATGAAACAGTCGTATTGCAATAAATCAACATGTGCCACACGGTGATTAAAACTTTGAGATTGTGAAGACTAATTCACCTCCAAATCACTCCTTTTGTCAACATAAAATAAATAAAACCTAGCCCAGCGGTAGCAGAGAACTTGCATTACGACATTAGAATGTGAAGATAATACACACTTTGCTCATTTAAAACTAAAATGTTGGTTTTCAAGCACAAGTTTTGTACACGATACTCACACTTTGGTGTGCAGGCAGAAAAGGGCTGATATTCGCGCGTTCACGGCACTGAGTGCGCGTTTGTATACATTTTTCTGGGCTGTGTGCCAATTGTACGGTGCCTCGTAAAAGACGTCTCACTACATACATATCTACAATTTCTAAGGGTGAAGAAGAGACAGTCCCGTCGCGCTTAACTGAAGAAATAGAAGAAGTTTTTTATGATTAAAATCTGTCTTGAAGAACTGGCTGGAGGGGTGCTCTCCCTCATTCAGACGATGGATGCGGGATCGCACCCTCGCTCCTTTGGCTAAAAAATCATCTAATTCAGAAAGAGAACGTTTAACTAGGTTATATTTAGCAAGAAGGTTCTTATCCTTGCTCCCTTGGTTAAGAAGGGAAGTGATCCGCTCAAGAGAAGAAAGAAGACGATCTTTCTCCTTTTTTCTGGTCTGAGAAAGACGGCAAGAATGGGCTATAATTAAATATTTGCTACGAAGCTTCACGTCCTCCCACCAATCCAACTCGTTATCATAACCTTCTTTGAGCGTTCGCCACCCTGAATAGGCTGTCTTAAAAGCTTCTTGAAAGGTCACATCTGTTAAAATGGGGAAGTATTACATTTCCAATATCCTCTTCCTCTCCTAGGAAGAGAGGAAGGGTTACAGTTAAAAACAACACCATCATGGTCTGAGAAGTGGACAGGCACATGCGAAATGGTAATAAACTTCAAAGAATTAGTAATATAAATCGGTCCAGCCGACTACAAATGGTATTTGAGGCATTTCTCCAAGTAAAATATCTATCTTCAGGATAGGTGGTCCTCCAAGGGTCTATCAAATAAAAATCGCCACACACGGAGCGAAGTTCCTGGTGACCGATGTCGCAGGTGACAGAAGATGTACCTATTCTGTCCAAGGCGGAATTAAGAACACAGTTAAAATCACCCGCTAAGATGAATGGACAATTCCCAGTAAAGTACTGGGAAAGGTTATTGAAAAAAAAATCTTTTTATGAAGGGGGTCATTAGAAGCATAGACTGAAATCAGTCTAAAGCGACCACCTGACCCATCTAAAAAAACAGCTAGAAATTCTTCCTTGCAAATCACATTTAAAATCTGACAGTTTAAAAGAAGAACGTGGATTTAAAAGAATGGCAGTGCCACAAGAAGAAGAAGTACCGTAACTGGCTAAAATGTCCCCTTTCCACTCCGATTTCCAGAGTTGCAGGTCTACGGTGCCAGTTATATGACACTCCTGCAAAAAACAAACGTCATAATCATGACAAAGGTTAAAAATTTGTTGGCCTTTGTGAAAATCACGCATGCCATTTACATTAAGGGTAAAAATAGTATTCATTAGGTTTAAAAGGAAGAATGCCTGGAGAAATGCCATTTAATTAAGAGTAAAATTGAGGCCCTGACATTGTTTTACACTTGGGACATTCTTTGGCTGGAAGTTCTTGTTCATCAGCCGAACTCTCGCTAAGCCGCTCCCCTGCTGGCTGTGGTGGAGGAGGAGGAGGTGGAGCCGTAGTCGATTTACTCCATGCTCTCTCTGGTTGAACTTTTCTGGCGAAGGATTTTGGTTGCACCGCCACCAAGTGTCGAGCCGCCTCAATGCCAATTCCCCTGAACTTGTCCAACACTGCCTTCGGTGTCGTAGCCTCTTCAAAGTTAACCTCCATGGCCTTGTCTTTATGCAAGGCATCGGCCATGGCGATCAAAATACTCTCTTCTAATATAGAAATATCAAAAACTGAGAATTATATGAGGCGTCAGTCACAGCTGTTGACTGACGAAAGAAGTAACAAAAGTAATAAGGTCCCGGGCTATCTGCACGGGGAAAGGGCGTTAAGAATATACAACGGGAATAAGGGGCGTAGCTACTCGCTACTACTATGGAAGATTTACACAAATATAATGCACCCTGAGCTACCTGCTCAGGAAAGAAGTGAAGGAATTAATATACAGAAGGGGGCTACAGGATATATATATATATAACTGAGCAACTTGCTCAGAAGGGATGGAAATATACAAAAAGGGAAAGCCTATACTACGGTCAAAAAACAAAATGGCCTACAAACTGCTGTATAGGAATTACACGGGGCTACGCACTGCCACAGCCCCACGTAAAGCTAAGGTATGGGAACCGCACGCTGCTACGGCTCCGAACAAAAGACTAGAACAAAACAGAACTGCAATAAAAGAAGGTGCTGTCGTGTGGCGTACTCCGCACATACGAGGCAGCAAAAAATGGAACTAAAAACCCTTCAAATGTCTCTCAAAATGCAAAATATGAAAAAATAAAGATGACTACAATAATCTACGTTCACTTAGCTAACTGCTAGTGTAAGATTGGTCTCAGGTGGGACCTCCACTCTCCAGTTTTTGATAGAAGATCACGGAGCCGAAAAAACGCGTTCTGAAAGAACAGATACTGTTTTTTGATTGGGGACAAAGAAGGTCCCGCGCAGGTCGACTTACCAATGCGCCGAAGTACAATGTGCTGGGGTCTCGAGCCCCCCTGCCCTAAACCAGAATAAACACAAACACCAAAAAGGACAAACACCTAAGAACAGAAAGTCACCGAACGACGAAAATGTCACAAACGACGAAAAATGTCCCAATCTGATTTCAAGAATCTCTAAAAAGGATACACAGATAACAGTGATAAAAAGACAAGCGGTTAAAAAGCTAAAAAAATACATTACAAACAGGTATTTAAAAATTTAAAAACACGAAGAAAACATTAAATCGATAATGTTTATCGAAAAAAAAATCACCGCTAAAATACCTCATTATGCAAGAAAAAATACCAGTTCCAAGAAACATGCCCCTCCCACCCCAGAAAAAAGTTTCCCGGGAGCGGGAAAAGAAGATTCTTCCCGAAAAAAAGCACCAATTCCCCATACTGAGAAAACAAGAAAAATACCTCAGCAGTGAGTTTACTGAAAACAAGGATGTCAATAGCAAACAAACAAAAAATTTTTCGGGGAAGTCCCGCTGCAAAAGAAGAAAAACAGTTAGACAAAACATGCAAAACAGAAGCAGACAAAGAGGCAGTTAAAAAAAACTGAACAACGGCAATAAACAATAAAGGATACTAAGTCCGTCTTTCAAACCTCGGTATGGGGATACGCCTGTTCCGCTGCAGGAGACCCGCAGCATCGGTGATGTCTCGATCTTTCCAGGGGACAGGCGCCTCTACTCCTTAACCTGAAAAAAGGGGGGGGGGAGACTAAAAGTAACCCTGACAGACTTAGCATCGAGCTGCACTAACTTACTTAAATATCTAGGGGGGAATAAAGCCGATGTAGGCAAGACTAGAAATTGATGAGAACGCGGTCGTCTCTGATAGAAACAACAGAGCCGCCGACGTTCCACAAAAGAAAAAACTTGTTTCGGTCTAAACGTAAAAATCTGCCTCTATGCGCTTATGAAGAAAAGACTTAGTAGAACGGAGAACGGTCAGGAGGTCAACGTAGTTGCCGTCGAACAAGGCTTGGCAGCGGGACTTCAAAATCTGCCACTTCAAAACAGAAATCAAAAACCAGACGAAGTGGTGGTTCTTATTTGTGGGGTTAAAACCCTCTGCGAAAAATACCACTGCTGGGGAGATGGAAAAAGTGGGCCCGCAAACACGTACACCCATGTACGTGGCCCAATCCCACAGCACGGTAACAAAGGAACAGTCCCATAGCAAATGCAGAAGCGACTCATTATTGTTACACTTAGGCCGAGGGCACTTACTGCGGCCAATGCCCCACGATAAAATGTGCTGGGCTGTCTTCACGGCGCTCCAAACAATGCGCCAGTTTAAGTCCCGCAAAAAGTGATCTAAAGAGTTATTTACAATGAATGAACAATGCAGGACGGCTGTGCGCGGGAGCGCCACAGCCACTTGATTTAAAAACACATTGTAAAGGTTATTTACAGTGACGGTGTTCCAGTTGATAGACAGTACATAAGGGAGAGAAAGGATGAGATTACAGAACGTGACATAGATGCGAGGGACCGTTGAGGAGTGTGGACGGCTATTAGAGAAGAGACCAGTCGGAAGGAAGTTACGAAGGGAAATGGAACACCAGAAAAGAGCTAAAAGACTCCAAGGCGGAGCTGCAGGACTACAAAGCGAGCTGAAACCCTTAATGAAAAGAGCATCAGCGTTAAATCTTATGTTAAAAACACCGAGGCCACCGCTGTCAACAGACTCACAAACAGTGGACCGGCGTACCAGTTCCGTCTTACCGGACAATAGAAAAGAAAAGATGATCTTGTTGATCTTCTTCTCCACGGTGACCGGCAGCGGGTAGACAGGAGCTACATACAAGAGTTAAGAAAAAAGGACTGTGTTAATTACAGTCACTTTGCCAATTAATGACAAATGGCGTTTATTCCAGTTTTCTTCTGAAGACTGGAGTTTTACCAGGCGGTCTTCCCAATTCCTGACGGCCATGTCTCCTTTGCCGACCTACAAGCCAATAATTTTAATGGGATCTGTTGTCCAAGAAATGGGGTAAATATCCCCGAGTTGCTCTCGCCATTCACCTAAAACAAAACCTTGAGATTTGGTGACGTTAAGTCTTGAGCCACTTGCACCTTGAAACAAACCTATAATGTTAAAAAGTCTATGAAGCGAGGAAATATTGCGAACAATACAAGTTGTGTCATCCGTATATTGTAAAATTTTACACTGCAAGTTGTTACTTCCGGGGATAAAAATACATTGGATGCCCCTATCGTTACGGACAGCCGCAGCGAAGGGTTCGATGAAAATGACATAAAGAAAAGGAGACAGGGGACAGCCCTGTCTAACACCTTTCTGTAAAGAAAAAGACTCAGAAAGAAAACGTTAGCAAGAACTTGGCTGAAAATGCCAGTGTATAGTATTTTGGAGCCATCTGATGAAATTAGGCCCAAAACCAAACTTGTGAAGAACTAGGCGAAGAAAAGACCAGTTTACACGGTCGAAAGCTTTTTGCTGGTCAAGAGAAATAAAAAAAGAATTTAATTTCCTCTCGTCTGCATAAAAAACAAGGTCCCGTAAAAGCCGGGCATTATAGTGAATGGAGCGCCCTTTGACCCCGCAGGTCTGAAAAGGGCTAATGATAGAAGATAGAACTGAAGAAAGACGGTTACAAAGAGATTTAGCTAGAATTTTTTAATCCACATTG